CGAAAAAATAGCATTCACGTGCATTATTATGCAGCAGGCTGCATACCGAGTAGGACTGAGCCTTAGTAATATTGTTGCATGTTGGGCATGCCACTTAATTTTGTTTCGCAGAAACTCCGGTGGTGGCGTCGTTGGTTGTGAGCGAAAAATCATATTCTTATGCCTGACCGAAAAATCGAGGATGATGCGCATAAAACCAATAATAAAAAAATCCTGGGTCAGAGTGCGAACCGAACAAGGGTCAATGGGGTGTGAGTGAAAATCAAACCCGGGTCGTTTGCGTGGCAAGCAGATGTTCTACCACACTGCCACACATCTGCTTGTGAATACTGTGAAAAGAACTTCCTTTGCTAGGAAATGCAGTTAAGGGTTGTGCGAATAGCCATCTATAAAAGAGGATTGAATACAAATGAAATAATAGAAATACAATGAATTGAATACAAATTGGTTATTAATTGAATAGCAAGAAAACAATTTTCAAGACAATTGTATGCTTCAACAATATTTAATTTGTAATCAACAGTCAGAAACATTGACAAAAGGATCACTGCGATAAATTTTTACAGGCAAAAAATGCCACTGTTAGGATAACTGGGGTAAACTTATATAGGCTGTGACAGTCAATTAACATTTTTTAAACTGTTCGCTCAAACACAGAGGTTTTTTCACAATTTATGGAGGTACTTTGTTGCCACCTTTTAAATAAAACTAGGCCAATTAAAGCAAAAATAAGTGTTACCTCGTTCTAATATGTGTTGCTCCTCTGGGGTTTCTCTGCCAGTGCTAAATATTTGAAAAAAGACTCGGCATTTTGAATATGTGTTATTGGATTCACGAGTACCATCGAATAAAACACCATTCAATTCATTATTCGAGCTTTCAGAACTTTTACTCACTTCTACCTGCACCCAAAGTTGCAATCAGGAATGAAGCAAGAACATTACGCTTTCTTCATCGTTTTATACAGCATCGTCCTCACTGCTCAAAAATGTATGATCTACGTACAATATAAACTATGTGAACGCCGAAAAAAAAAAGGGGGGGGAAAGGGTCGCACTGCCGAGCGCTAGGCTTTCTTCGGGTAATTTGCGACAGCGGTGGCTTGGCTGTCCCATGCAGCGCCCCTAGCGGCATCGGCGGGAGAGGGGCCCCCTCTGGCAAGGAAAAGGCGCGGCGCTCCGCACACCTCCCCCTTCTGGCACCCTAGCATGGCCTTCAAACTGGCGCGAGCTCGCCATCTCGAAGGCTATGCAAAGCGCAGCCGCACCCACTGCACCCGCAATGTTTGTGCGCCGCCATCGGACGCCGTGCTTCATTGCGATAGCAATTATATGGACACTCTCGGCTGGGTTTTGCCGCCGACATCGGCGTCACTCACCGTATATGTATACTTATCTATATTTAGGAAAACTGAAGAAAGAAAAAAAAGTCACCCGCGCTTAACACCCAGCTTGTTCGTATGTGCCGAGGCGTGCTTATCTCCCATGCGTACTTTGCCCCATGGATGGGGTAGGGGTTTAGAAGCTTGTGCACGCGCGCTTATCCTTTGGTGGGAAAAATCACGCGTCTTCGGCTTTGACTGGAGCGATTGTGTTTAGTTGCCGGGCACACAAAGATCACTTTGCTTGCTGGAGAGGCCCCATTTGCGAAAAGAGTGTGCTTTTCAACACAGCGAACTAATAGCTGGGTACACTTGTTTGCACTTATCTATACCTGTGATTACGCATTGTTTTTGTCCAGCGGTAAATATTGTTAGTTCGCTCTCGTCCTGTGTGTGTTGTTTTCATGCGTCATGTGTGCGTGAGCAGCGCGCTGCACGTTTCGATCTGCTAGCTGTTCTCAGCGTTACATTCTAAGTTTTTGCTATCGCATTTATTGCTTCGCCCATACGGCAAAACTGTGACTTTTTTGTTGTCGGGTTTGTCGTTGTGAACTTAGTTGGAACACCTGCTGCGTAGGGCGCTTTAGGCCGGTACGCTAGCTACACGGCTGGTTACAAACAGCATGCGCTGGAGCATTGAAACCGAGCGGCATTGATCCATGCGCTTTCGTTGTGGAAGGAAACAAAAAGAGCTTCGGGCTACAAAAAAGATTTGTCGCAACAAGCAAAGTCGTCAAGCGAAATTTTCGCTGTTGAAACTCCTGCGACTTTTGTCTCCCGCGTAATGAACTCCCCCCTCCTCCAGACTGACGTAAACTTTTCTGAAAAAAAAAAAAAAAAAAAGGTGGGTTCATTATGTGAGTATAAATACGGTATATAGTATTAGTAGCAGCATGTTACTATGTGTGGTTTTACGTAAAAAAAAAACACGATATGATTACGAGGGATGCGGTAGTGGAGGTCTCCAAAAATTCTTACCATCTGGTGCTCTTTATTGTGCACTGACGTCGCGTAGTACGCGGCCATTTACCTTTTTTTTTATCTAGATGCGACCACCACGGCCGAAATTGAACCTGTGACATTCGAGTCAGCAGCGGAGCATCCTAGCCACTGGTGCACCGAGGCGAACGCGAAACGCGGGCCGATTAGTGCACAGCATCTCACGGCCATCGAAAACAAAAATAAAAATAACATGCACATGCTGACATCCCGTTTACATGTTTTTTTTTCTCAGCTTTCATTCATTACACTCATTTTGAAAGGGCAGATTAAAGACACTGGGAAAAGAAAGACTTGGAGACAAAGAGTGTTGTCTTTCTTTTCCCTTTGTTTAAGCGCTTTCCTTTCAAAATAATATGAAGCAGCTAGCCCAAACCTAAGTACTCCTCATTCATGCCGCACAACAGAACACACAAATTACACGTGCCAACTAGAATAATGTCACGTGTAACACTCTTAATGAGGTACCGTTTAAAATGCAGGATATAATCAAGAGACGGGACATTTTTCGTCTGTTTTTCTGGATATAGCTGGCATTCAACCAAGTTCTGATGAGTGTACGGTGAGCGACATCAGAGCACCAATGTCAACGTAAAGGAGTGAATAAAAGCAGGACCTTTTCTTGCTGTAAGTCATTCCCTCCATCTTGGGGCGCATGCCCGTTAGAATGGCAAGTGGCATTCTGCAGAAATTTAGCGTTTTTTCGTGACATGTAGCATTGCAAATCTTAACAGGCATGATCCTGAGTGCCCAGTGCATCCATTAGGCTTGTCAGCTCGAAATGCCCAAACCTAGTAGGGGCCCTCTAAGGTGTTCACTGACAGGGCCGAAATTGATCTTATGCGATCAGACCTGGCATCCCTCCCTTCTGGTGTATCAGTGATCTGGTTATTTACTCCTGCGCTGCTCTTGTCAGCCACGTTGAAACGAAAGAGACCCAGGAGAGTGTTGATTGGACGGTGGATACTTGACTCACAATGCTAGACAATGAAACGAAAGACCACAATCTGCGAATCACATGGGAAATTGGTGCCTTTGTGCTATCTTAAACAATATTTTTTTTTGCTTCTTGTTGCAGATACAAGTCACCGATGTCTTTGTTTTAAAATATTTTAATTCTTAAGAAATTTATTGTGCCTATATTTATGATTTTGAAAGCCTAAAAGGGTGTTTTACCTGCCGGTCTTTGGTACCTAAAACACACTTTTTTATTGCCTAAAAATCCGGCCTCTGGTCATTACTACGGCATGCCCACTAGTGGGGTCTATGTTGACTACCACATGTGATAACTGACAAAACTTCCTCATACTGCTATGTGCATCAGCATGTTTGCCACTGCCTTGTTGTTATTGTTGCGAATTAACAAGTTCTACATGCCTTATAATGACAATAGTGAACAGAAGATGGACATATGCACAAGTACTAGTCATGTTAAATGGCTGCACTGACATGTGCTGTCAATGTATTTTATATCCTGCAAAATTGGATCGATATACACTCAAACCTCGATATAAAGAACCCAAATATAACGAAATATCAGTTATAACAAAGATAACGAAGAATAGCCTTGCAATAGATATAGTATTAGGAATATACCTTTATAATGTGCAATAGATATATTGTTAGGAATATATTTTTATAACACATTTTCTAATATAACATATTTTTTTGTAAGGTGAGACATTGTCGTAATGAGGTTTTAGTGTAGAATGTTACATATAAACTGAAGGAGAGTGAATGCTCTGAAAAAGAATGCTACAACTTGATAGTATTTGATTAAGTGCCAGATGTAAATCACAGGCTTCATTAAGGTAGCCCGATTCACAGCTGCTACATGCCACTCTACAAGAGTATACTTCCCAATCGAACTGGCAGGCAATGATAATGAGCTTTACTTAGCAGGATCTCTATAGTTTGTAACTTCCCTTCAACCTTAACAAAGTTTTGTGCAAGAGTAGCTTTATGCCTTGATGCCTTGTCTATAATACTATGACAAGTGTTAGTCTCAGGTGTTATCTTGTGATAAATTACTGAGATTTATTTTTTTTTGTTAGCTTCCAGAGATTTGTTTCAGTAAAGCTTTACTGCGCAGTAATAAAAATCATCTGTTTAGTGCTATCTTGCTATGTTACCAAGTTTGTTACAAAATAAATGAGGCCTGTTACAGTGATTTTCTGCCCACACAGTGCAAACAGACAAAAGGTTTGTTCAATTTGCATGCACCACCTGAAGCGATTCAAGAAGTGCAGGATAGGTGCCCCACTGGTTCACAATTTTTTTACACCCCCCATGCTGACAGTGCCAGCTTGGTGCAGTTGTGCACGTTTGCACTTAGCACCTCAGCTGAGGACAGAGCATTGGTGTAGGCACTATACCCGCATCAACTAACGTGCTGCCTTTTCCCGGATGTCGCCACTTCATAAACTGTCCACAAAACCGGTTTGCCACCTCTCAAATCAAGTGAAAACAACATGTAAGGCCTGCACGATGACGGCACCTTGTCATTCGTTTCTGGTGTCGCACAGTGCCTGCACTACTGAACTCGCCATGAACCTGTTCCGAATGGCGCATATGAATCAAACGGACTTAAATTCAACACTAGGCATTAGTTTCCATGTACCTTCATGCACCTGCAGTCCTTCTATCTCTGTACTGGCAGTGGAGTTGGTTGTGCTTGGGCTGGAAAGCTGGGCAGGCACCGCCAGGAAACCTCTTTTATGGTCTGACATGTGGTTGGTATAGTTCTCTTTGCTCACAGAGCGAAAATTGCACAAAGAACAAGCATACAATCCATCCAGGCCAGGATGCTTGTTTTTCATATGCATTTTGTATGAGATGGCCTGAAAAAAAAAAAAAAAAAGAATTTTTCTATTAGCCTCGTGTATGCACATATAAAAAGAAAGCCTTACAAGAAATGTCCTGTAAACACACGTTTCAGACTTTCTTGTGTTTATCCAAATACAAGCATTTTTTTACACAATACATCTTTAATAAAAATCCTATGACGGTAAGACTCCTGTCATTTTCTCCTTCTAAGTCTACATAGAGGCCGAAATAGCCGAGCGATACTGTTGCCACTAATTCACAAAATTTTTTAACTTCCTAACTATTGACTTGAGGGCAGTTATTGATATTAGAAATACCATATAAACGAACATAATGAACGCATTTCCCCCCAAAAAGTCAAAGCAAAGTTGGGGGTGCGTTCATTAGGCGGGGCAAATTTTTTTGAAAAGTTTTTCTAGGTGAGCAAAAAAATGCGGTAATGCAAAAAAAAAGTTAGCTCGCTTAGCTTTCGCAATTGACTAGCCTTTTGCGATTGACATACACGTACACTGTTTGTTAACAGCTTCTTTGTTCAGTTCACTAATCTTCAGTGGTTGATGGCACTATCTTCTGCAAGCTGTCCCAGCAGCACCCGCGCACTCCATAAAAGCGTTTCGTGGCTTTCTTTTCTCGCGGTAATTCAACCACAACAGTGGTAACTGCAGTGATCTCGAGGGGCCCCCAGAAGCATGAGCTACAACACTATGACACGCTATGCGAACTACGTGGCAACCTTGCACGACGACCGCGACAACGTCATTGACATCGCAGCAAGCTACCATCAAAACGTAAAAACAAGTTGTAGATAACAATATTAAAGACAAAAAAAAATATGGCTGCCACCTCGCAGTCCACATGCAAAGTGACTGTAGAAGTGCTAGCCTATATTTTGCGTTTCTTGAAGTACGCAAAAATAACAAGGATGAAAAGCTGATTGAACCGAAGTGAGAGAAAGGGGTGCTACAACGTTGCGAAAATCATCATGCTCTCTTCCGGGCGACAAGCAATTTTTTCTGGTTTTCCAGAAACCCGAATTTATTTTGAGAGCGCTTGCATTGGATAGAATTAAGACAGTTGGGAGATCGGCATGGCACAAACAACAAACACTTTATAACCCCAAACATAAAAGACAGAAAATCAAAAGCGAAATGGACACTCATGGGCACAAAATTACCCCAATAACAGTACAAGCAAAATAGTCTGTGAACCAGTCTAAATTTGTTCTTAGCCTTAGCCACTGCTTCTAATCCAATATGGCATCTCGACAATCGAACGATCTTACATTTCACATTGGCTGCTCTCCAATGCCGTGTTGAGGTTTGTCACATACGCCGTTGACTTACTCCACAACCTCCTACTGTCACTGTCAGCTGGTCCCGCCTAATGAGCTGCTCCTCGTCATTGCCGGTCTCAGACTTCGTTGTCTTCTTCAGCCTCAGTAGGCTAGGCTTAGCCTCGTCATAGACTCTCCCGCTGACGCGTCTACTCTGCTGACTTGTGTGGTCTGCTCCATTCTAGTGCGATTTGGGATACGTGCATGTCCACCAGGAACTGCTGGGCACGATGCGGCAAGTCTGGGCAGCCTCACTCAAGACCATCTCCAAGGTCAACAGCCACTTCCCGAGCTCTTCGTGCCCACATTCTTTAGAACTGGGCAGTCATGCTGCTCCTGTTGCGGTAGTGACGCTCGTTTCCCACATCTTTCAACACGCAGTGCCAGCTCATGCTCTGAAATTTTTCTTCTCAGCTCGAGTTGCGTGCCAAGAGCCTTTCTCCAGCCAATCTCTTGCGTCCTACGTGGCTGGTGCGCATGCACTCTGATGACTCTCCTCTCCTCGTGCGCCGCCTCCGCGTTCGGCACGCGTCTGGTGCCTCTCCTTTACTCATTGGGCCCCCTTTTAAAGAGTTTTTTTTTTTCTAAAAAAAACTGCTTTTGTCCTTCTCTGGGATGCATTCTTTTGTTCTTTTGCTATGAACCTCACTTGACATAACTTGTTCACAGGCTGGTATGTCACCTTCCATTGTTGTACGCTTGTCACGCAACCACAGCGTCACACAATTCACCAATGCCTTGCATCAACACTTCACAAATACACGTTCTGTTCACGGTTCCCATGGTTCATTGCCCAGTAAACATTAGTAAAGACTTTATTGGCAACATTTTGCACAATATTTTTTCAGAAACCGATTTAATTTTTTGCATGCTCCCAGCCAAAATGCCTCCTTAGTCAATTCCCTGCTTAGGCTCTTTGAATATCTAAACCCATTGCCATAGTGGTGTTTTAAGATAATCAGCCTATAGCATGTTGGCACCATCACTTGTCTAATCAGATCTACATTTTCCCGAAATTTTCTATGTATCACATCTTCATTCAATTAATAGGACACTCCATGTTTGAATACTTCTCTTCCTTGCTTGCCTCCCACCCTGTTTATTGTGTATCTCAGGGTTCTATCCCTGCTCTGCTCTTTTGCGAGCTCCTCTGAGGCAATGCCTTTTTTATTTCATTCAATGCCATGGCAAACGTGTACTCTTTAACAGGAGCCGTCAGTCCGCCTTAATTCAGAGTGGTCGTGGTAAGAAACCACAGGAGCGGTAGAGCGCTGCTTGCATCACACGTGCTTCCGAGCGCTTTTTCATGGAAACGCGATAGACGTGTGTCCCTCTCCAATATCATACGTCTGTCAGATTTGTTCCTTCATGCACCTTCTTTGTGGCTAGAAGCGATGCCGCCACCACCTCACAGAGCTAGTTACGCAGAGGCGTCACCGTGACGCGTCCCCACTGGTTGGCCGCATAGCACCACGAACGGCGACATGCTATCTGAAAAGACCGTATCACTTACAGAGCCAGCATGACTGACAACAATGTGATAACAAGGAATGCAAGACGCCGCCCCATGGATCTGTGCACAAATGAACAAAAAATTACTTTATATTATTCCCATCGTGAGGCACTGTATGAAGGGCTCTCTTTCCCATTACCGTAAAGCACAGGCGAAGGCTAGGTGATGGGCGAGAGCAGGAAAGGAGTGCACGAAAGGGTGGTGAACAGCTGGATTGGGTGCATCTGGCTGGCATTGATAAAATAGAGTAGGCGTTGTCTGAGGATACACCTAAACACTCAAAGATTGGCACATTTCCCTCTGTATACCTTTCACTTTCCTTATCAATCCCTCTATCCTCCAAGTTACCTGGGCTCTTTGCCTTCTTTTCTTTTTGTGCCCTGTTCTACTCTCTTGGCATCAGAATCCTTTCGCACGGGGTCATCAATGCTTCTCAATCCTGGGTGATTGCCTAGGATGATGTCGTACAGTAGGTCCTCCTTACATTTGCCCATAATTTCACCTAAGAAATAAGGAGTGTCTAACATTATCTTGGCCTCTGACAGCCTCCTCTTGAACCTATCTACGAAGATTACAGTTCCCTGTTTTCTTGTAAAGTCTCTCTTGTTAACTAGGCTTTTCGTATCAGCCCCAGAATCTCTCAACAACAACACTTCTTTGCCACTCACTTTTCTTTTCACAACTGGCATATCACAGCCTCTGCCTGTTGCCAAGCTCAGCACTATGCTCACCATCTCGGGATTTTCTTCTGCCCTTAGCACACATGCACTCTCTTCTCCTGATCACGACCTACATTCATTGGCCTTGTGCTCACTTTTTTCCCATAGCTGGTAAACTACAGGTGTTTCTTGTATACTGCTGCTTGTCTGACAATTAATTGCTATATGCCCTAGTCAATTGCACAGGAAACACCGCTGGTGCGCTCTTCCCTTACTTTTTGGTGCCTCATCTATTTGTTTTTTATCCTCAGGGTTGTCGCTCATCCCTTGATTGATTGATTTGTGGGGTTTAACGTCCCAAAACCACCATATGATTATGAGAGACGCCGTAGTGGAGGGCTCCGGAAATTTTGACCACCTGGGGTTCTTTAACGTGCACCCAAAGCTGAGCACACGGGCCTCGACATTTCCGCCTCCATCGGAAATGCCGCCGCCGCAGCCGGGATTTGAACCCGCGACCTGCGGGTCAGCAGCCGAGTACCTTAGCCACTAGACCACCGCGGCGGGGCCGTCGCTCATCCCTTTCTCAAGATTCCTTAACCCATGGGCCACCAGAAACTGATCTGCCTGCTTAGCCATCTCCTCTACCGTGTACACCTTCTTCTCTTTCAGAAAAACAGCTAACTTGTTGCTACAACGGTTCAGGAACTGTTCGTCTACTATCCTGTCGAGAACCGCTTCATATGTTTTTTCTGTCTCTGACAGCTCGATCCATTGATCAAAATAGTTAGCAAGGCAGCAGACAAACTGCTTGCCCGTCACAGTTCTCAAGTTTACACGTTCAGAACTTTTCTCGAAACCCTTCGGGTGTCAAACGGAATCGCTCCCAGGGGTGCAACAGCCAAAACAGAATTTGGAGCAATTTTCGGAGCAGCAAAATAGTACTTTTAAAGCATGAAAATCCAAGTTTCGAACAAGTTACGGAAAACAAAGCATTAATTTTTCATTACGAAATACCAAATTTGGAGCAATATGAAAAAGGAGTCTTACATTTAGAAAAAAAAATATGTACAAATCATTCAACATTCCCTAAATCATGCAGTGTGAGTAAGAACACTGCTATTTCAATAAAATTAGTATTACGAACGACCTCTCTGAGCAAATAACGATAAAGTCCACATTAGCATTTGCCGCATCTGACTCTGCGAATTCAAATGTAGATCTTCAAGCTGGCGAGCTTGATAGTCAGGGATTCGTAGGGGTGGCAAAAAAAAACTGGCACACACTTTTTTTTTTGGTACCGAAAATGTCATGCATAGCTCGAAATATCTGCCAGTACTTTTTCAGGCGCCACTGATCCTACTAGTACTCACAATTATGCGCCGTATACACGCAAGAGTAGTTGAACAAAATGTGCTGTGTCCAGTGATTAGTGCTAACAACCCCTTCAAAATCAAAACGTGCTTTTTCGCCGGAGATTGGCGCACTGCGGCAAAGATGAATTAAGCA